GGCCTGAAATAGCCAAAATAATACAGATATTTCTGCCTATTTCCTAAATGTCACCGCACACCTCCCACTTGGCAGTGGGATCCTCCTGCAGAGGATGCTGAGCAGCCGAGTGGGGAGGGCTGGAGCAGCCTCTGCTTCCTCCTGCCCCCAGCAGAAGGGAATGTCTGGGATAACACTTTGCAAATCTGCCTGGAAAAACATGGCATTATTCATAGTGTATGATTAGTCTTGCACGCTTTCCTTGTTATAAATATGTAACACATGCTCCAGTGCAGAATGTGGTAATGTATTCCAACATGATCTTTATTGCTGATATTTAAAAACCTGTTCCTGAATATGCACAGTTTAAATTTCACATGAGTGTACATCTCCCATTTTTCCTGCTTTAAAGCGTAAAGTCTCTCAGGCAAAATGTAGGTTTTATGTCAATCCATTTTTACCCCTTTCCTCAGCTCATTTGTCTATGGTTAAATATTTTCTTCATCTTCCACAGGAAAATATGAATTATTCTAATGCACCAAGCACTGCAGTGTGTGTGCATCTGTGTTTGTTGGGAAGTCAAAATACAAACAGTGGAGAAGATATCCTCATTTGTTTTCCACTCCAGTTTTTAAGTGATATGTTAGGAAGCAATCACAATAAAGAGGAGCCAAAGGGGCCAAAGAAATTATTTCTCAGTGAGACAGCAGCCTGCTGTTATCTCTAATCTAAGAGGCACTGGATAGAGGTCATCTTCTGATCAATGAAGTGAATTTCACTTTATGATGCTGCAAACAGACAGAGAATGCTACAATCAAGTGCTTTCAAAGAGAAAACAGAAGCAGCAAGAGAGCGAGGGGAGAACCATAACAAAAATAAACAGATTTATTGCTATACAGAGCCTGTTTGACAAGGGCCCTGCAGTGTTGGAAGAGGATGTTGCCCTCCTTCAGCACCCTGGATATTCAGAGTATTGCTAAAACCTAAAATCACTTTACCTGCCCAGGACAGTCCCCTGCACAAACAGAGTTAACAACGTGCTCTGCCACGTCCAAAGATTATCCCTCCGAAATAAAAAACAATTTAGGTTCCAAGCTGAACACTTCAGCATGGGCTGTAATGGGACTTTCAGGAATTCTGAACAAGGAATGCTGACAGCTTTTGTTCCACAGCCTCCAGACACTTCAGGCCTGGCTCATGCTTTGCCTATATTTTGCTTTTTAAGAGGAATTTGACTCAAGTCTTACAGCACTGTCTGATATGATTTTGGATCTCTAAATAATACAGATTTCAAGGCCTGATCAAAATGTTTGCTGCTGAACTTTTATAGTTTGGAGCATCAAGCATGGACATGTCATGCTAATTGAGCAAGAACTGGATGTGTGATGCAGCCAATGCCACAGGAAAGCCTTAAAACAGTCTCTGCTTATTTTTTCTTCCAGACCTTGCAAAATCAATAGAAAGGTAACGAGGGCCCTTGCTGTCAGCATGGATTAATCTGGAATTCCCTGGCATCTTCAGATCCTTGTGCATCAAAACACGAGTTTATACCAAAAGTTTGAACAGTGGCTCAAAGTGCTCAGGAGTTCAAAAAAATGACAAGAGCCAGCGAACTAAAACGTCTCCAATTTCTATGGTTTGCAAACTTCAAAAAGTGTGATTGTGCTGGGAGGCTTTGATCTCAATATTACTTTTTTATTGCCTTTGAAGTCCAAAGCAAAGGGCCATTGCAGCGGGATCCGGAGGTGCCGAGTGTTAATTCCCTATAGCCACATTTAAGGGACAGCATATTAGCTATTGACCACTGAATGCTAAAGAATTAAATCATAATAGAGAGGATTTTCTTCTTAAAGATGATTTCACACTCAGCAGTGTTGGTGCAGTTTGAGTTTTCACAACAAAAAGGTCACCAACATCCAGGACCTCAGGAAGGTGTTTTCTAGAATATCCCAGGCGAACCCAATGGGAAGAAATGACGATGTCTGACTCAATTCAGAAGGCTGAATTATTTCTTTTTTATAACTATGCTAAAATACATTAATATATTATATAAAAGGAGGATACTAAAACTCCATACTACTTTCTCTGACTCTAACACAACTCGTGCCCCTCTCTGAGAGCCCCAAGTGGGTTGGATTTGCCATCAGCTCAAACAGTCCTCACCAGAATCCAACCCAGCACTCACCCCAGGTAAACTATTCTCCAAACACATTCCACATGGAAAAAACAAGGAGAAGAAATAGAAATTGTTTTCTCTTTCTTCTCTCTGTGCTCCCCTATGAAAAACCCTGAGAGGGAGAGAAATGTGCTTGCCACATCCCACATTTTTAATAATCAGCTGTTACAGCTAAGCAGGAATTAGTATTCTGTCAAAATTATCCACCAAACAGTGGTGTGTTACTTTTGGAACTGGTGAGGGAAACCTCCGAGGGGGATATTGGTGAGGGGCAGGAATCTCTGCCTGCTCCTGAGATGGGAACTTTGTAAATTAGCACCAGCATCTATCTTCAAACAGCAGAACTGGAAAGGAAAAATGGAAAGGGCTGCATTTATATGGCTGGTAAAATATTCATTTATGTGCTGTGCTTCAGGAGAATCGATCTCTGGAGAGCAGAAGGTTTCTTCATCTCAGTCACACTGCATTAGAGGGAAGAGCTGAGTGGGGTGAGATGTCCTGGGGGCAGTGATGGGGCCAAACAGGGCAGCAGGTCCTGGCCCTGAGCTCTGGATGGGGCACGGGGACATCAGGGCAGCAGGAGAGGGACACGAGCTCATCCCTGTGTCTCGGGGTTTTGATTCCACTCAGTGGCAAATCAAAATGTTTTTGTAGATTTGGTCTTCAGTGACTTCTTTTTTTCTGCCAAATCATAGCAAGGCTTTTTGTTTTTTGTACAGGTACGTGCTGGGATTCCTGGGGTGGCCTGTGCAGGAGCCAGGGGTCAGATTTGGATGCTCCTTGTGGGTCCCTTCTAGTTCAGAACATTTAATGAAAGTATGATTGTGAAAATGAATCGATTTTTGGATGGGGCACAGCAGATCTTGTTCTGCCCCTCCACAGTTCCCTGTTGCTCTCAGGATGTGCTGCAATATTCCATGTGATGGGATCTGTGCAGCTGGATTAACTTTTTACTATGGCCTCTTGAAATCACTTCTTGAGTAGTTTCTTCATGAGTTGAGGAAATTTCCTTCCACTGGATTCTCTAAACCTGCCAGAGCCGCAGGCAGGGCTGTGCAGTGGGTGTGAGATGTGGTGTGGGCAGGCACAGCTGGGTTTGCCACCAATCCTGTGGTTTTTCCACTTAAAATACCCTTTCGACGTTTCAGGTGAGGCGTTCTATTGTGAACAGGATTCTTCCACAATTTTTCTGATGTTAAAGACTCGTAAAGATTTTTAACAATAGACTTTTACATAGTTAAACTGAGAAATAGCTCCTCTAATGTTTTCAGCTCCTCCTGACAATAATGTCTTTACCTTGGGAGCAAAGTATTCATGCTGATGTCAATAAAGGCAGTGGTTTTGACAGCAGTTTTATACATCAGCATAGATCTGGAGTGCTGAATATTACCTGTGTTATCAATTGGCTAACACTTTCCACGAGAGAGATGTCTCTTTAGAAAGCTGTTCCTTTTATGAGTGTCATCAACTCCTGTCAGCCTGACACTGCTGGGTTTGACTGGGTTTGAAGTTTTTGTTGTTGTTTAAATTTGTGATAACGTGAGTGAGTGCTTTTTGAGGGATGGATGTTGAAAAATGTGTTCTGTTCACATATAAACGGCTTCATTCAGCTGCTTTTTTGTGAAAGCTCTGAGATCTGTGGAGGAAAATACTTAAGTAATAGAGTGATTTGCAGTGCTTTTGGTGCTAAAACAGCACAGGTGTAGCTCTCACAGAGGCAGTGACTTATTGCAGCTCTGAATGCCTCTCAGTTTAAAAGCTCTGGGGTTTAAAGCTTTGTGCAGAATCTCTTTTGGATTTTGGATAACCCACAGGCAGACAGGCCCTGGGAGCACAGGGAAGGCACAAGTGCATAATCCCATCCCAGCAAGGAAAGCTTTATTAGCAAGTATCAGGAATATTTATTTTTCCATGCTAAGAAAAAAGAAAACCAAACTGAGTTTTGTATTTCTAACAGTGCAAATTGGTGTGGATTCACAGTTTATGGATGCAGAAAGAGCACAGGCTTGCTAGCAAACTTCACTGCTGGTGAAAGGAACACCAACAAAAACAGATTTAACATCTGGCACAGCTCAGCACCAGCTTGTGTCTGTGACTGCTGGTCAGACCACACTCCTGAAGAAGACCAAGGAGGCATCAGCCATAATTCCAACAGGTAACACTAAATCTTCCCAAAATAATCACTGCCAGTTTGTAAGAGCCTGGTAGCAATACAGGATCCCAGGAGGGATTGTTGGGAGGGACCTTAAAACCCATCCCATTCCACTCTTGCCATGGCAGGGACATCTTCCACCATCCCAGGCTGCTGCAAGCCCTGTCCAGCCTGGCCTTGGGCACTGCCAGGGATCCAGGGGCAGCCACAGCTGCTCTGGGCACCTGTGCCAGGGCTGCCCACCCTGCCAGGGAGGAATTTCTTCTCAATATTTCATATATTGTACCAACACACTGAAGTTGAACATGGATGGAGAGCAGGGAGCAGCTGCTTTCAGTATGGGTGGCCTCTTTCTGAATATTTACATCTGAGATATAAATCACCCCTAACACATCACTCAGTGTAATAGGTTCCTGTAATTAAATGAGAGCTTTATTGAATAAATTGCACACTGTTAATTATACGTGTAAGACTCTCTGGCAATTCCTTTGACTTTATTGCAGATAAAACAATGACCTTGTCTACTCTCATAGTGCTTGATAATTTAAGAAGATTGAAGAAGTGTTAATTGTGAGTTGGCCAAGAAGTCTTTAAAATGCTTTAATAGCTTTAATAGTATTAATTCAATATTGAGATAAGATTATTCCTTGTACTTTCTGTGTACTCACAGTGCCAGGCATTTCTTCTCTCACCTCTGAGAGCAGTGGAGCTTGGGGCGGGGAACAAAAACCAGGAAAATGTTGATTTAGTCTATAATAGCCACAAATCGATTTTCCTTGATGAAGTGGAGAGTCAGGAATTATCTGCATCAAATCAGCAAGGATTTTATGCAAATGAATGCAGAATTAGAATAGCAAAGTTCAACTTGATGACATTGGTCTTATTTTTTGCATATTAGTCAATAGTTGCTAAGTTAACAATTTTCCCTTTCCTTTGGCATCTTTATTTATAATAAAGTTATTTATACATGCACACAAGTACAAACTTACCCATTGGGTACTGAAATTAAATCCCAGCAAGGCTTTATTTTTATTTACTGCTTCCTCCAATAAATGTACATCTTTCAAATCTCTGCAGAGCTGCATCGATTCCTGAAGTATCATCTCCCAGTTTATTGAGTACAAGTGGTGACTGATTGTCCCCTGACACTTCAGCAAGGACTTCAACATACAAGAAACAAGTTTTAAATAGGCTACGACTTTATTAAGGTAACACCACATCTGGAAAATTATTTGGGATGGTTGGGAATTTCTTGATAATTTTTTTTGTTCCCCCCACTGGAAAAAAACTGCTGATTTGCCCAAAATCCAATCTGTTTGCTAAGCAGAATGGGAAATTCAACAGATCCAATTAAGAAGAAAAAGGAGCCAGAGCAGTTGCAGGTTGACACTGTTAACAGGATATTGTGCTTTTCCTTGTGATGGCAATTTTTTCAACATTTTAATGAACTTCCACTTGAAAAAAAAAAATGAAGTTGAAACCAATTAATTTGAGTGACCTGACAAAAAGAAAACCCACAAAAAAACCACAACAAAACAGGAGGAGTGTTGGAGGGTGGCAATGTGAGATCACAGCTTTACACCCCGTCTCTTACAGAACTTCCCTGCAAAGTGCTGAAAACCTGTGGGAGAACCAAGCTCAATCCACACTCGGTGGGGAACTTCCTTGTGGCATTGCTGATATCCTCCAAACTTAGAGAAAACTTGGGAATTTAAAGGGAAAATCAGCACTAACAGCCTGGTTTTTCTTTTTTTGGTGTCTTCTGCTTTCCTGAGAGCAGCTTTTCTCCATCAGCAGAGTCAAGCTTGGGGTCCTGCTTGTCTCTCATCTCTTATTAGCAAATTCCAGCCCATCCCCAATCTTTAACTTTGCTGGGAACTTCTTGAGATTCTCCTTTTTTTGCCTCAATCCTATTGAACACCAAATTTTTGTGCTAAACAATACTGGTCCATTTCTAATCACAACTTTGCTTAAAACTGGCATTGCTGCAACTTCAGGATCCTATCAAATTAGTTTGAAATCAATCTGGTTCACAGAAAACACTTGAAGTTTGAAAGCATCTTCCATTTAAAATAGCATTTTAAAAAATTAACTTGCACCTGTGCTCAATAGGGCACAGAAAGAACAGCAAAGCTTTTCACCAGGTATTGAAAACTACAGCAAATAACTTCTTCAGACAGAGAAAAATAACCTAATAGCAGCTTTCTCTGGGAACTCACAGGATTTCTCTGTTCAACAGAGCAGGAAAATACATGTGCTTTGTATGAATATAGAAATGAAGAAATAATTTATCAAGCAAAAATACAGGTATTTCTTCAACGATTTCCATTGCTGTGGAAATATTTTTTCTTTTTTGACACAGTTTTACTGCGCTGCTCTTTGATAGATTGATCTAAGATAGGAGAAGAAGTGCTTTTCTTCCTTTGATGATAAAGAAAAAGGAAGAAAGAAAAACTTAAGCATTAAAATGCCAACATGTGTTTTATCTATTTCAGTTCTGTCTAAGAACTGTTCAGTTTCCCCCTTTACAGGAATTATTGCTTTACTTTCTCTGCCTCTCTTGCCACAAGTTTTCCTAATTTTTTCCTTAGTTTCTTATTTTTCTTTGTATTTTACCATTCCCAAGGGAATAAAGCACCTGATCCCTAAGAAATACCTCACCTTAGCAGGTGGGTGAGGACAAAATTTCTGCTTTGCTACTGAAACTATATATTTCAAATTTTTAATTTAATTAGTGCACTTCACCAGTCCTGTTTGAGACGAATGTTGATCAGTTCTCTCTCCCCAATATTATTCTTATTTTTCTGAGGCCTTTTAATAGAAAAAATATGCCTTCCTCTAAATGCAGAGTTTTATTTATTTGACTCTCCTTCCCCAATTACTTAAATTAATATAAAGATACCAGCTGGAGACAGAGTGGAGGACCAGAGATGTTTTTACTTGATTAAGTTTCTATTTGTACATCTCCCAAAGCAAATAAATCCAGCTTGGAATTGAATTAAGGGGATTCACACCATGTTTTGTATTGGTTCATTAAGGAGGTATAAAATCCACCTAAATTAGTTAATTCCATAAAGGTATGTCAGTTTATGTATTCAACCAGAAGTGGATCTCTGTTACGGGAGTTGTGGTTTCCTGAAACATGATGAATTGTTAAAATTGTGAAAATAATCTCCATGGTTTTTAAGCAAAATCTTCTTTACCCCCAGGTGTCTTTTTGTGAAATAGGTTTTGGATGACTTTTATTGGGATGTCAATGGGGACATCCCAAACAACTTAAAATATTTTTTTGTCTAATAGAACAGCTGAACTCTTCAGGCATCTCCAGAAATCAGCTTACCAGCTCTGCTGAATTCCAGCTTGAGGAGTTTCTATAAAGCCTACAGGAACTTCAGATTGCCCGTAGCATTAAGAAAATAAAATTTCATTGGCTTTGGATCCATTCTGGGCTCCCGGGGAAATCCAGTCTGGGTTTTCCCTTTTGCAGATTCCATTCCGGACTCCGGTTTAAATCCGTTCCGGGTTTTTAATTTCTCCGACTCCATTTCGGAGTCCGGTCAAAATCTGGTCCAGGTTTTCCCTTTTTCCGAATCCAATCCGTATTCCACCTTAATTCTCGTCCGGGTTTTCTCTTTTTCCGGCTCCATTCCGTACTCCGCTCCGGGTTCCCTGTTTCCCACGCTGCATTTTGGGCTCAGCCTTCGCTCTCCCCGTGCAGGAAATGCAGCCTCTATGTGCAGGAAATGCAGCCTCTATGTGCAGGAAATGCAGCCTCTCCCCAGCTGGACTGAGCTGCAGGAAATGCAGCCTCTCCCCAGCCTCCCTCTGCAGGAAATGCAGCCTCTCCCCAGCCTCCCTCTGCAGGAAATGCAGCCTCTTTGCAGCCCCCCCCATGCAGGAAATGCAGTCTCTCCCCAGCCGGACTGAGCTGCAGGAAATGCAGCCTCTCCCCAGCCCCTCCATGCAGGTAATGCAGCCTCTCCCCAGCCCCTCCATGCAGGAAACGCAGCCTCTCCCCAGCCCCCCTGTGCAGGAAATGCAGCCTCTCCCCAGCCCCCCTGTGCAGGAAATGCAGCCTCTCCCCAGCCCCCCTGTGCAGGAAATGCAGCCTCTCCCCAGCCCCTCCATGCAGGAAATGCAGCCTCTCCCCAGCCTCCTGTGCAGGAAATGCAGAGTCTCTCCAGCCCCCCCGTGCAGGAAATGCAGCCTCTCCCCAGCCTCCTGTGCAGGAAATGCAGCCTCTCCCCAGCCCCTCCTGTGCAGGAAATGCAGCCTCTCCCCAGCCTCCTGTGCAGGAAATGCAGCCTCTCCCCAGCCCCCCTGTGCAGGTAATGCAGCCTCTCCCCAGCCTCCCTGTGCAGGAAATGCAGCCTCTCCCCAGCCCCTCCATGCAGGAAACGCAGCCTCTCCCCAGCCCCCCTGTGCAGGAAATGCAGCCTCTCCCCAGCCCCTCTGCAGGAAATGCAGCCTCTCCCCAGCCTCCTGTGCAGGAAATGCAGCCTCTCCCCAGCCTCCTGTGCAGGAAATGCAGCCTCTATGTGCAGGAAATGCAGCCTCTCCCCAGCCCCCCTGTGCAGGAAATGCAGCCTCTCCCCAGCCTCCTGTGCAGGAAATGCAGCCTCTCCCCAGCCGTAGCAGCTGCAGGAGGCTCCTGCAGAGCTGCTTTGGCTCAGCCTCACAATTGAGAGCGTTCTGCTCTGCAGTGGAGCTGGGCTCAGGCCTTTCTGCACGGGCTGTTTGTTCTGAGAAATGCGTTTGTCTCACAGAGATAAACCCTCCCTGTCTGCTCGGGGCTGCTCAGCACCTTGATTTGCATCTGCCCCTTGGAGCAGGGATTTGGTTATTTCCATGTTGTTCTTACCCCATGGTCTGGTCAAGGAAACAGGCGTAGGAGATTATCCTGTAACGTTTGTTTTTAATGGAGTGTTTGAAATCCCACGACCTGGGCATCCCACCAGGGACCAGGAGAAGCAGCAGATGCCAACGCTCAGCTGGACAGGCGAGCTGGCCGAGGCAGTTCCTGCTCTCTGCAGCAGCCCTGCCTTGGTTTCAGCCCCCTCGCTCCACGTGCGCTGGGGGACACCAGCCAGAGGCTCCTGCTGCCACCACGGCCACGAGGCTGGTGGCACTGGCAGGGAGCGGTGAGGACATGACCCAGGTCCCTGCTGAGGCCACCAGGCAGAGGGAAGTTGTTTGATCGGACACTCGGTTCCTAAACTCGGTGCAAACGGGGCTGAGGTGACGAAAGCCCGGCCGGTGGTGGTCCTGGGAACCTGCTGGTCCATCACCTGCCACCCTGCAGGGCTTCCCAGCAGCTCAGCCACGGCTGCTGCTCCCTCCTGCAGCGCTGCAGCCCTGCACACCTCTTGCTGCAGCTCTGCCAGGGTGAGGCCCCAGCCATGGCTTCGCTGCCCTGGATTCAGAACAGTTCCTGTGCCTCCCCGGGGCAGTGCTGGAGTCACCATCCCTGAAGGGCTCCAAAACCACTTGGGTTTGGGATGTGGCCCTTTGGGATGGGATTTAGTGGGTGAGGTGGTGCCGCTATTGGACACAAAATGAGTACACAGAAGTGTTGCCCCGATTCTAAGATTTTCTAAAGCCTTCTGAGTTTACAATTTTCTCACACAATTTTCTATAAACAACCTATTGTTTTGCATTCCTTCATAGGGGTGGAGAAACTAGATGTACTTGTAGTTTGTCCAATGTCTTTGGAGAGGTGGCACATTCACTCTCCAATCCACTGTCACCTTCGGAAAAGCATAAAAGTTGGAGTCAGAAAATAAACCTTCCTTCTTTTCACCTTGTAAATAGCAGTGGCTCACGTCGTGCTTTCACATGTCCTATAGCAACACAGAAGCTTGGTAAGTTCAAAAGAGCAAAAGAGTAAATTTTATTTCTGACCTCGCAATATATAGAATTCCAAAAGTGACAGTGGATTGGAGGATGGAATTTCCACCTCTCCAACCACACTGATTAAACCAACAGTCCATCAATTCTCTCCTCCCACAAAGAAGAATGCAAAACAATCATTATTTACATGAACAGTGTGTGAGAACTCCTGTAGAAATATTTAAACATCAGAAGGCATAGAACACTTTTAAAAGAACTTTGAAACTTTCCAAAGAACTATAAAAGAAAACACATTTAAAAATCAAGGCAACAAGGTGGGATCTGACTGAAGGTTGGACTTGATGATTTTGGGACTTGCAAAAATTCTGCAATTGTGAACAGAAGGGTGACAAATGCCAGCAATGCCTCAAAGGAAGGTCAGCACTGCTCACAAATGACACTGCAGCCTTCAGCTGGGGCGGTGCTCTCCAGCAATAATTGGAAGGTACCAAATTTCCGGATGTGAAGTTCTTTGGCCTCAGTTTGACTCAATGACAGACAGTGTCACTGAACTCCTGAGCTTACAGCTTGATTGCAGACCATAAATTGTGCCAAATCAAATCCCCCACCTAATTCCATGGGGATTGAGAATACAGCAGCAATGGGAAATACAGGAAACTCAGGAATTTTTTTTTCCCTTTTATTTATTTCTTGGGGAAGGGAGAGGACGTTGTTGAAATAAAACCGTTTCAGTTTCTCAGCTTTGCTGGAAGTTTCAAAGCCCAGCTCTCTGATCCATGATTTCATGGGTTCTGCTTAAAAGATAACATCCTCCAAACGGGATTATTTTCCTGGAAATATCTATTTACAATCTCTTGCTGTGAATCAAGCCGAAGAAAGACTCAAACCCATCCCGTGCAGGTGTAGGCTGCACCCAGAGCTGACAGCACCATCAGCTTGGGAATGTTGCAAGGATAATCACAGGCAGGCAACTTTTGGGTTTGTATTTTTTTTTTTACCAATATTGATTGGCTGACTCTGCAAAAATGCTGCAAATGTGGCAGGAGAAAGCCTTGCTGATGTTCATGGACTGCAGGGTGCTGGGGTCAGGGAGCACCTGGAGCCAAGGGTGCCCAGTGCACACTTTAATGAAGTGTGACACCGAAATTCAGCGTGACCTTGTGTTGTACAAGAGCAGGAATATCGTGAGCTACATCAATAAAATCTGAATAAGGTCTTTTTCTTAGCTGAAAGGAGTCCCTGACACCTGAGCTTCTATAAATATTCATTGGGAAAACAGACCAAATGGTATTGAGGGTTATTTTTGGTAGCACCGGGGGCTGCGTTTGGGTTTATGCCACAAGAAACTAAAAAACTGGGGATTTTATTTATGAAAATATAATATTAGAAGGAGTAGTTTAAATTAGAGTTTCAAATGGGGGTACAGGATTCTTTCCACATGAGTTTGCTGAAGATATTTAGAGAAGCTGGACACAGACTGGGGCTCACTAGTGATCAAAAAGTCCTGAAGTTTTACAGCACATGGCTGCAGGTCTTGATGAGATTATTTTACAAGGCCTGTTCTCTATTTAAATTCTCATTTTCCTTTGAAATATCCCAGGATGTTATCTGAAATAGGAGAAGTATTTAATTATTTCTTAAGAAGAGTTCTCTGATCAGGGAGAGCAGCTCTTGTTGCTTCAAAATAACATCTGCATAGTCAAAATATGGTAACACAACTTTTGAATATGCTTGTATTTGGCTTTTGCTAGTTTGTGTCTTGATTTTCTCTGGGATGTAAGGATCAGGACCAAAGTTTATGACTTCAGGAAACTTCTCCAGGGGGATCAGAGGATGGAGCAGCTCTGATGGGAGGAAAGGCTGGCACAGCTGGGATTGTTCCCCTGGGCAGGAGAAGCTTTGGGGTGAACTAATTTTGGCCTTGCAGGGCCTGAAGGAGCTACAGGAAACATGAAGAGAGAGACAAATGATAAAGGATGAGGGACAGGACAGAGGGAATGGGTTCAAACTGCCAAAAAGTGGGTTTAGATGGGATTTTGGGAAGGAATCCTTCCCTGTGAGGGTGGTGAGGGGCTGGCATGGAATTCCCAGAGCAGCTGATGCTGCCCCTGGATCCCAGGGCCAGGCTGGACAAGGCTTGGGGCACCTGGGACAGTGGGAGGTGTCCCTGCCATGGATGTGGTGGCACTGGGTGTTCCCTTCTCACCCCACACTTCTGTCATTCTATTTAGCTAAATCTGCATATCTGCTGATTCCATCTGGCTGATTGCAGCCAGCAGCTGTCCTGCCCCACACAAACCCTGCCTGGAGCTCTCCCTCAGCCCAGCTGCTCCACCTTTGGGGACATGCCAGTGGCACATCCCCATCCCAGCAGAGGAGCCACTCCAGCCAAATGGAGCCTCTGCTCTGCTGCTTATTAAACCCCATTCATCACAGCACACTTCACGGGCCACAGCTGCGTGTGGAAATGCTGGCGTTTCTGTAGCAAAGATATCTCCTTAAACTACTTTTTCCATGTTATTTTTAGCCTTTAGCTACTGCTCAAACTTAAGGTGCAGGCATTGTTGGTTTAGGGCCTTTTTAACATATTCTGGCCACATTGAAATCAAGAATTTGAAAATATCTGCTTATTTTAAATGTATAACTATGCTTCCTGAGCTCAGTAACAGCCACAATCTGGCTTTAGTTTTAATTTTGCTGCTTTAACACCTTACAGCTGCGGTTTCCATGCAGGCAAATTTGATGGCAGCTTTGTGCATGTGAATATTGTTGGCAGAAGCTCTTTGTTCCACCTTTATTAAAAAAGAAATACCTGTATTTGTAATGAACTTCACGATGCATGAATATATCTGCATAGTGTATATAAATACACATATTTATGTATAAATACATAAGTCAATGAATACATAAATTTATAAATTATCCGAATTTTGCTCTGGTGATTATATTTTTGCCTGATCTTCTCTCAGGGGCATTTCTGGCCCATCATGTGCTGATTTATTTTTCTAGAAGGCCATGCAGTGTTTTTATATTGCTCAGCTGCCTGGCTTGGTGCTGGGAGGGCACAGAAAGGTTGGAATGAGTAGATGTGGGAGGAATTATGTCCTATTTTGTATTCAGGCAACCCACAGCTGGAATTCTGACATCACTGCCCATGTGTTATTAAGTCATTGCATAAACAGAAAAAATCCCAGGTAAAATTGACATGACCTCCAGGTTTTCCCAAACGTATGAAATTGTTGTAAAGAGAACAGGTTTTCCCTAAGTTTACTGGAATTCCAGGCTGGTATTTTATTAAGACAGCCCCAAACCTTGGTGTGGTAGAGTGGTAAATCCACAGCACAGGGTGATGGGTGCTTTCAGGAGAAGCACTGCTGTCCCTCTTGCAGGTGTCTTCACATTGGGAAGAGTTAAATGAGATCCCAGGAAAATTTTCCTCATGTAGAAGCTGTCAGGAATTGGAACAGACCACCCAGGGCAGTGCTGGAGTCCCCATCCATGGAAATGCCCAAAAAACATGTGGATGCGGCAACTGAGGACAGGGATTAGGGTTGATGGTTGGACTTGATGAGCTTAGAGGTCTTTTCCACCCTTAATGATTCTCTGATTCTGTTCAAGGCTAAAGGATTAAGAACTTAAAAGACTCCAATCCTTGATGATGTTCTTATGTGCCTGTAGAATAGACCCTAATTTACTGATCAGACACAAAGAAGAACAGACTCTCCAGAGAGAGAAAAAGAGGGAATTTAGCCCTGAAAACGAATGGAGAATAGAAAGGTAAATTAGTAAAGACACAGAAGATGCAATCTAAGTTCAAATAAAATATCCCTGCTTGTCTCAGGGCTGCTGCTTCTCTCATTTACAGGCTGTGCTGATCCCATGGAGTCCTCACCATAAAAAGTTGCCCAGTGATGCTCCAGAAGGTGAGTAAATGTATGTCACGAGGAAAAATAACACTCCCATGCAAGGATGATTTAAGATTATTTTTCCCCACTTCTGCATGAGATTGGATCTATTGTAACCTTCCCAAACCTTTGTTACCTCTGTAATTTAAACTGACACGTTAAATGCTAATGCAATTGATGGGGGTGAACAAGTGGTCAAGGAACAACCTGATCTGACTGTATAATGCATCAGAGAATTGCAAAAATATGCAGGTCAGATATAATTTTGACAGAAAATGGCTCGCTGCAAGGGTTTATGTTTCCCTGGATGGTCTTAAAAAGAGTTGGACTATGGTAAGTACCAGAGCGCTCAAAAAAAATACCAAGTTAGACTTGATGGAAAAAATCCAAGTTCTCAATATCCTCAGATTTCATTATCAGTTTTTATTGGAGCTGGGATAATAAGATTATAGAATTAAGAGAAAAGTTATACCCATTTTCTTCAGCTCAGCAGCCCTAATGTGCAGAAAGGAAGTGACACTCATTTCTCACCATAAATACAGCAAAAACTGCCTGGAAAAAGAAGTCTCTGGCCATGTACAAGTCCTTACTGAAAATTCTGATACCTCAACAGGCACTGGGGCATGGCAGTGACCCTTTAGGGTGGGAAAAAAAGTGGTTTCTCACCCATTAATCCCAAAGTAGAAGAATTTCCATTTGGCATAACATGGCAGGAGCAGGATGTGAATCCTGGAGCAGCTGCCCACAGGAGGAACCTGTGGTACACATTTTCCTGGGGTAAAATGTGTAAATGCAGTGAAACAGCAGAGAAAGTCACAGGCAGTTCCTCCCAGAGCTCTTTATTTCCAGTTTAGGCACTTCCTGAAGAATAAGAGACACATTAAGCCCCTCTGCTGACTCTGAGATGATCTGAAGCAGAGGGAAAGTTGGGCAACTTTCATGTCCACCAACACTCTGTGGATCCCACCCTTATTTCCATATATTAATATATGTGCTCAAAACAGCACTGGTGTAGAACTCAGATTATTTTCCATTTTGGGGGCATGACAATAAATTGTTCACTCCAGTCTGAGGGTTATCAAGGATGTTGGAAATACCAGTTTTTCCCTGGACATTGTCTGAGCAAGAAGAGAGTTTTTGACTTCAAAATTTTTCAGCACTGACATTATGCCAGTGGATTTTGGTACCACGTTCCTCAAAAGAGTGTCAGGTTTTTTAACTCTGAAAACTCAGGAATCCCTCAGACTTCTTCCACTCCCAAGCACTCCCCACTCCAAGATGCCACCAGCAGGTGATAAATTGACCAGAAAAAAAGACAGTAAATAAAGATATAGCCACTCCCTTCAAGAATTTGACTTATTTTCAATATTTTCCTGATCTGTTCACTACTTCAGTGGGTTTTTTCCTCAGAGGGAATATCAGGGTTGAATTTGTCCTCCTGCCCGCACAAGCACCATTGTATTCTTCATCTATATAAGTGTTTAGAAAGGAAAATTGAAATGTAAATTGACTCAGTGCTTTTAAAACCTTAAAAAAATAATAATTCAGTGCCCACTCTATGAAATGGAACTCTCCTGGCTGCTTTAACCTGACGAGCAGGTTAGCATAACATGAAATCAATTATTGTACTCACCATATAAAAGCTGTCAGGTTTAATACTTAACTGCAGTATCTCCCCTGAATGTTTGATTTCCAATCCTCATCCCTGTGAAGCTCCAGAAATACAGGGGCACAAGAAAGATTCTGGGGTAAGAAATTTACTGGACTACCCTGTGTTATAAAAGGGAAATCGGGAGAGAATAACACACCCTGCAAACACAGCCCCCTTTTTAATCAAACACTTCCCAGCCCCATTAAACAAAATAGAGAACAAACTGCAAATAAATATTGAATTTCTAGTCTGGATTGTAATAATTGTGACACCATTTCACTTATTTTTCAGCTTGTCTGGAAGCAGCTTTTGCTGGAATAATATTTCCATCATTTTCTGTCCTTTTCTTGAATTTCTTGGGTTGTTCTGGGGGTTTGGTTTTTGTGGATTTTTTTGGTGTTGTTGGTTGGCTTTTTGCTTTTCTTTTTGGCTGATTTTTTGTTTTTGTGGGTTTTTTTTTGTCTGGTTGGGTTTTTTTGGGTTTGTTTTTTTTGTGGGATTTTTTGTGTGTTTACTTTTTTGTTTGGTTTTCTTCTTTTTTTTTGTTTTCTTGTTTTTTTGGTTTTTTGGCTTGATTTTTGGGGGGGTTTTGGGTTTTGAGGGGATTTTTTGGCTTTGTTGTTGTTTTATTTTTGGGGATGGGTCTTTTTCTACAGAGGGAGAATCAAACAGAAAAATGCTTTGACTTTCACAGCTCTTCTACTGCTACACTTTATTCTATACTTACAACAAACAATGTAAATAATTATTGATCTCTTTTCTGATCTGGCCTTTATTGTGTGACCTTGCTGTGGCTAAAATCTCAATCTGAGCTGTTCCACCTGTAGCTGTGACCATGGGCTTAACAAGTTTGTCATTTGAGAATCCCAAAAATGATGAATTACGGATTGTGGAGTGCTGGTGTTCTGACAAGAGCGGGAATTGTTTGTAACAGAGCTGGGACAAAGGCCCAGTGTGTTGGGAAAGGAGTGAAAATTGTGACTGTGACTCCTTCCTGCTCTGTTCCTGTAGGGAAGTGGAAGGTTTGGACTTCTGGGGAGGCTGAGAGTGCAGGGAATGGAGGGACAGGACACAGGCAATGGCTTTCTGTCGGAACTCCAAATGTCCCTCAGACATTTTTGGAGGTTCCAGGCCCAGGTCAGAAGCATTTGAGACCCTGGCAGGCAGCTGGAAACAGCTGTGATTTGGGGTTTGAGCCATGGAATGATTTACCAACCTTGCAGGAAGAACAAGAAGTCACAAAAGTTTAGATATTATAGTAGAAGTAGTCACAAAGTAAAGGGAAGAATTTCTGAGTGCTGTACAGGGGGTTTTGGTTTTGTACATGGGGGTCAGAGGGTTTAAGATAGAGGGATTTGGGCCTGCCCTGTCCTCCCTCTTTCTTCTTCCTTCCCTCCATGTTCTTGGTGATGTTGGCACTCACAGATTGGTTTAGAGTAGAAAAGCACCATTTAATATAGGTAATAGGCATTGGGGACAAACTGTAACATGTAACACGTAATGTACCATATAAAAGATAGAAAAGCACCATTTAATATAGGTAATGGGCATTGGGGACAAACTGTACCCATGTAACACGTAATGTACCATATAACAGACAGCACAGCCCTGAAGCAGTCGGGAGTCAGAGAGGATGTCAGGGTGTGTGTGTGCCTCTGCCTGAGCTGTGAGCAAACCACAGCAGCTCCAGGAGAAAATCTTTTAGATAACTTGCAATAAACTGCCTTGGGACCGGACAGCAGAGACTGCTGAGCCTTTCTTTGGAAGCTCGGGCTGGAGGAGAGACTTTTCCACCACACGGAGCCACCCTGACACAGGGTGAGCTCTGGCAGCTTTCCACTGCCAGAGGTCAGGGTTAGGTGGGATATAAATAAGGAACTCCTCTCTGTGATGGTTGGGAGGGACTGGGATGGAATTCCCAGAGCAGCTGAGGCTGCCCCTGGATCCCAAGGCCAGGCTGGACAGGGCTTGGAGCAGCCTGGGGCAGTGGGAGGTGTCCCTGCCATGGCAGGGGTGGCACTGGGTGGAATTTAGGGTCCCTCCCAACCCAAACCACTCTGGGATTCTCTCACTCACAGCAAAATCACCTTGGAGCTGTGTCCTTCCCACTGAGACCCCAGGCAAGCCCAAAATCCAGGGCAGGCTTCTGTGAGCTGCTCCTTTGCACTTGTGTGGTTAAAGTGCTCCAAAAGCAAAGCCCAAACCATCTGTAGGGTCTGGTTTGAAGCTCTGTCACCTCACAGCTCTGGGGGATTGCTTCTAGCAGCAGAAACATTGCCAGCCCATGGTCCATAACAGCTTGGAACAAAGCGCTATAAAAGCAGGGAGCAGGAGACAGATTTATCTCAGTGTATTTCAAGAAATGATGATCCTGAATTGATTCCTTCTCTGAAATACAAACTCCATGTTTAGCTCTTCTGAAAAAGAAAAAAAGGAAAACCATAAAATAAACCAGGATTTATCCTCAAGATCAACTCTCATTTTCTTTCAGAAATTACATTCTAGACAATAAGTGATCATTATGTGCCAACAGAGCTGAGAATCTGATTTTAACTTTCAGGTAACATATTAGGGCCATAACCAAATCTGAGAACTATTATCATAGCCAAATGACTGTAATGCTTCAAGGCTGTAACAGTCATCACCTTTTTATCATTCAGATTACCAGCCAAGCCTGAAACAATGAATTTCTTTAACATTATTCTCCCATAACCTTTAACTGTATGCATTACTTCAAACATCTGAAATAATCCTTTATATGACACAGTAGAATAATACTTTTGCCACTCACTGCACACTGGAATTTGTTAAGGCCAGAGTAGAGCAAAAACTCCAATCTGTTCTGTCTGCCATGGAAATGCATTCATTTCAATTGTGCTGGAATGATGTTTAAGTGATAAATAATTTGAAGGAACACTGATAGGAAGCATAAGGTTCATAAAAGTCCAGAGATGCTGCTGCAGTTTTATCACCATTATAAAAGTGTCCTGCTTGCCTTGTTTTGGGAGGGCTTTACTTGGCCAGCTCTCACATATTTCACGTGGAATGTACAGCATAAATATTCCACGGGTTCATTACAGAGCTGTGTTTGTGATAAACCTTCCCAGAGTCCTTTCAGGAAATGTTTATTCCTGTTCTGTCAGGTGGGTGCTAATGCCCCACGCCAGCTCTCTGCACAGGCCGTGCTGATAAATAATTCTGTGTATGCTCTGGTGATTCTGTGCATAAACTCCCCTGTATCTGAGTTACTGCTGCTCCAGGCCCTGCATGAATCAGATTTATAAACACAACACTGTGTTTCTTACCTGGGTTGAGGTGTATTATGATGGCAGAACTGGCATTTATCTGGACTCTTGGTATAAAAATGTTTCCAGCCACACAAGTAATGCATGTTATATATAAAAGCAACTGCTGGAAGTATTGCCAGGGAGAGGGTCTTGACAAACATCCCAGGGAGCCTCGAGGCTGCTGAGTACAGAACATTTTGGGTCAGCCCCTTGGAGAGCACAACCTCTGAAGGAACAAGTTTGGAGAATTAAATTGTGTCTTCTTCAGTGTCCTGATGAAAACTGAACACCTCAGAAAGGTCTCAGCAATACTGAGCAGTGGTTTTTTAATGAAGCTCAACTACTTCCAAGAACTTGAAAATGTAGGTTTAGAAAATCTGAATTTATTGAAATATTTCTAAGCTGCATTAAGGAAAAGGGATTCAGATACAAAGGATTCAGGCTCTGGGTAAGGAACAATTATAAGGTGTTGGACTTTAAGTCCAATTTTTCTGTGATTTCTTGTGTGACCTTTCACAAGCCACACACTTGTCTGCCCAGGGAAACCACAAAGTGATTTCCACTGGCTTCAGTGGAGGAGAGAATCAGCTCCTAATTTCTCTTTGAATCAGTTTTCTCATTAGTGAATTACCGACCTCAGAGCTTAATGCTTCCAATGCTCTTCAGTCTCCTTGAAGGGGAAATGATATTGGAATGTTAACTGTCCTTCCTGCCAGCAGCCAGGGAGCAGAAAATCCAGATTAATAGGGGCACTTTGGTGCCATGGCCACCACGTGGACCCGTGTTCCTCCACCCCAGAAGAGCAAAGTAAGAGTCAAAAAGACTAATTTAAACATTTCAGCTCACGAGAATGCTGCTTCCTCTGCAGGTACCTGGAATTTCCTGTGGGTTTTGCTGGATTTTAGGACAGATTTTCATTTGCTGTCATCTCAGCACTGCACTAAAGCACTTCTTTTCATCCACAGAGTTAATCAGCAAGTTGACATCACCTGGAATGGAAATTTCTGGAGCTGAATATTCCCCTTGTTCCAGGACTTCAGGGCTGACAATATTTACAAACTCTGAGCTCAAGGAGAGGTAAAAGTTACTCATGCTGGGAATGCTCAGCCTCACCCAGCAACACCTGGCAGGAAAAGGTGACCATTCCAGGGGAGAAGAAACCAAATATTGACAGCAAATTTGTTGTAAGTATTTTTAAAAAAAGGTCAGTCCTGAACATTAAAGAGGACCAGCAGGAAATCATTAAATCTGAGTGATAACATGGGTTTATTTTAATTTGCTCGCCTAGATTTTCATTGACAATGAAGGGATTGTGGAAAATAAAATTAACTCCATAAAAATGTGGAGTTATCTACAGCTTGCAGAAGGACTTAGAAAATAATTGTAATAACCCAGACAGATTTCCTACCCCTTTCTCCTGGATTAGTTTTTATCTATATTACTTGCATCACCAAAAGAGTAACTTTTATACAGTTTAAGTGCCACCTGCTAGACCCACTGGAGGATTTCAATAATTTTAACTGTGGGTTCTGATGAAATATTTCAATTAAAGCCCTCAAAGCCTCAGCTCAGATGCCACCAGGCCCTGGAGTCACTGGGTGCTACATGACCATGTAGATGAGCCTGAAACAGAGCAAGAATCCCCCAGCTGTGATTCCTGAAGAATCCAACCCATGGACTTCATGGGAGGGTGGAATTCTGTCCTCTGCATGTCCTCCATGGACCAGGTCACCATCAGCTTCTCAGGGATCTTTCAAAGTTATTCAGCTTCCATAAATTCAACTGCTACAAAGTCTTCATAAACTCATTGGAGTAGGGGCAAAAAAAAAATTATTTTTTCCCAAGGTGGCTGCTTGAACCTGCAGTTCCTGTGAGAATCAGAAAATTTGAGGCTGAAAAGACCTTCAAGAGCCTCGAGTCCAAGCCACAGGACTGTGCCTTTTCAGTAAATTAAAAAAGAAACATCCATCTCTGCTGCAGAGGATCACCTGGCACGCCTGCTGATTTATTTAACTAATTTTTCATCTCATAATTCTTCCAATCTGTGTTCAAACGATCTCATCCTGCATCTCTTTGCTGAAGGTTACCAGGCTGGCAGAGCCGTGTCCTTCCGATGACGGATCTCTCTGATGCTCTGTTTACCTGCCCTTCATCTGCTCCAAGGCTAACAGAGGTGGTTTTTTATTTTTATTCTCATCCACAAGGAATTCAGGAATACCCTTCCTGCTATCCCCCACCCAAGCAGGAGGATTTTTGCATGCTAATAAATCCTTTCCCTTACGCTATTTTAACTCCAGGGCCGGCGGTGTTGTCAGACCAGCTCTAATTAAGTAATTGAATAATTGGTCATGGGAATCATCTCAGACTGGCACCAGTGGTCACCAGCACCTGCTCAGCTTCCCTCTGTTGTCCCAACAATGGTGCTGGATTCATGCCCAGCCCCAGGGGCCAGCAGGCACCATGAGGAGGGCAGAACCATTCTCAAGTTATTTGAGAAGCCATCAATTTTCCAAAGTGTGCTGTGCTGAATTGAGGCTTGTCCAAACTCCTCACCCTGGTCATATTTCTTGCCCATCACATTGGTTGTGTCAGCTGTTGTTTCACCACCTGTTAATCCGTCTGTGCTCGGGCTGTACATGTGATTTATGAAGGTTCCTGGATCTTACTTGTTGCCTACATGTGACCAATGCAGCTATTTTTTCATCACTCTTGGTTTTTTTCATGCTACATCCATCTATTAGTTACAATTTTAAGAGAGGGAAATATGGAAATGTTTCTTTCCAAAACATTCATTGAAATTTTTCTACCTTTTTTATCATGAGCTATTGAAGTTGTATTGACACAACAGCTCAGGTAGATATTTTAATTTACAATTTTCACCTCCCTCCTTCACTGCTATCCAAAGTGAATTTTAACCACGAGTGCTGCAGAAATGAACCTGATGATTTGTAATCATCAGCAGCTCAGGTTATAAGGAATCTCCTGCTGGGGTTACACATCAACACAGACAGGAGCAAAATTGCTTTGCTCATAACCTGTGGCAGTTTTAATAATTTTATTTCTATTTCTTTCCGAATTCTGGGAAACATTAGCCAGATAATGATGCCTTTTGATTACCAGGCTTGTTCCCTCTTTCAGAAAACAGCTTTGGTCTGCAAGAATCACCTCAAATGGTGTTTCTTTTGTGGGCTGGTTTTGGTTGGTTTTTTTTCCCTATGTTATCTTTGTGCCTGAGTATTCCTGGTTTTCAGTCCTACTGCTCTGCTCCAATATGTTCCCAATATTTCTGCTTTTACTGGCTCATTTACCCAATGCAATAAAGATGCTTGTCATGTCATAAGGTAAGTATTTTCCCCAGAAATTGTTGTAAAACTTTGTATCAAATTGGACATTCCTATTGATTTTTGAATTGATATTTGCAGGTCTCTTTCTGCTTTCTTTTTAACAATTGACTTTCAGACCCCCACATTTCTTGAAAGAAATATTGCTGTAAATTGCAGTGATCTTGACCTGCTCTTTTTCTCCTCCTATCCCTCAGAGCTTTGCTATTCTAATAGCTTTTCTATGCTCCTTGCAATTAGTTCACAGAAAATTAGAAGAGATAATGGTTAATGAACAACTGCCACTCACTGTCAGTGAAGTGCTGCGAAGGAAAAGGCACTTTCAGAAGTCAGAGAAATGAGAAAATATTACAGAGACAATGAGCATACAGAGTTGGGGGGGAAAAGTCTGAGGAAACTGAAATTTTCCTTGATCAAGACCCTTTTGAGAATACTCATCTTCCATCAAGCCCTGAGGAACTTTCCTAACCCTCCAGACATGCAGTGAAATGGCCCCATGGCAGTTTAGGCCAGTGATATTTTTAAAATATCTTTCATAGGCTTGTCTTGGACTCTTTCAACAACACACAAAAAAAATCAATCATGATTATTAAACCCCTGTAATGTGAAGTATCAATATTTACACCCTTCTCATTGAAGTTGTGGTGAGCGTGCTGGGAACGCAAATTTATTTTGATTTTCACCCGCAGAGAAATCCACAGTGTCCACCTCATTAGGATGATGATTTTCCTTGTGGGGTTTTTGCCTTTATTTCTCCAGGGTGAGAGCAAAAATCCCAGAGTGGTTTGTGTTGGAAGGGACCTTAAAGCTCATTTAGTTATGGGCCTAAATCTCTACAGCAGTGAAATGGGAGAATCTTTTATTCTGCTTTTCTTTTGGATCTAAATCCAATCACATCAAATTTAAAGTGATTACCTTCAGAATAAGATCCCATCCAAGATAAACCACTCCAGCAGGATATTTCCATTCCTAATTTCCCTAACAAAGCTTAGTCACAAACATCCCCAGATGTGGTTCAGAATGTTGTTTGTCTTCATCCAGGAGAAAGATCAATTCTGTTGTGGAAACATTGCACAGCATGGGATCACTCTAATCAATTTGAGCAGGCCGTGGTAAAACTATCTGGTAGTCTGCAATCCAGCAGCATCAAAGCTAATTAATACTTTAGTCAGCTTAATGAATGTATTAGTGCTTAATATTTGTGTATAAGATCCTAATAACTCAATAATCCTATCCCATTTACATTATTAATAGGACAGGTATGAGCTGATTGATCATAAAACCCATTAACTGAGATTTGTGCTGCCTTCAGTTCCCTCCAAGGAAGAGCAGGAATCACTGAGGATTGCAGGGAGCAGACTCTGTAAAGGCTTTTTCGGATTCCAGGTGAGTGGAACTGAAGAATTGCATTTTAAACAAGACATGAACTGATCTAGAAGGTGATGGATGTCTGAACCCAAGGGCGAGTGCCCTGGTTTATGAGACACCCAAATTCTTTCAGGTCAAAGCCCCTCTACAAGGCAAGAGAAACACCAGGAAGGAAGAAGGAGAGGTACAATCCATTCCACAAAACCATTTCCCTTCTTTCCCCTTCCTCTCTTTGCCCCACTCCTCACATAAAAACCACGAAGTGGGAGCTCATTTGTTGAAATGAAGCTGGAGGTTGGTTCAGGTGGGAGATGAGTAAATAAACCAAGTGCTTTTAACGCCTGCTAGAGAAGAAAAATATTTTGCAATTTCCCTCCTACGGGCTTTGTGCTCTACAAAGAGAAATAAAAACGTGCTTCATCCTCTTCAGCAGCCTTGAAAGCTTTTGCTTATTCACAGCCCCTGACAACAGAGGCCAGATAATCCTCTGGAAGGGGAAAGCACCGTTCCAACGCTGCGGAGAGAGCGTGCAGGCAGATGAATTCCATTGGAACAACAGTAAAAAAAAGAGATGAGGAAAAAGCAGCTCATTCCTTTGGAGACTCATCTTTTTAATGCACCATTTCCACAGGATCTTCTAATTGCTTCTTGTGGGATTGAGTGTTTTCTCTTGCAGCCTCTCTTTGGAAATTTGTTACATTTCCTGGTACGATGTTCTCCTGCATTTTTATTTTCAGGTTTGAAGAACTGTTATCTGTTTTATTTTCTTTTTTTTTTTTCCTTCCCTGAGATATTTTCCCCATCTCTCCCATTTCCATGTTCACGTTGTTATTATCAGGGAAATTTAAGCTTCTGTGGTGCTGTGAAGCTGAATCCTCTTTTATTGCCACGCTTTCTTATGTAGTGGGACAGCAGAGAGAGCTGCTGGTTAATCACTTCTGAAGTCCTACATGTGGCAGGGAGATGTGCTATGAATTATCCAGTGAGCTGTACCTGCATGATTAATGAGAATCCATTCTCCACTCTGCACTCCAGTGCTCCTCCAGTTGCAATTTCTTTGTTAGAACCGTGTACAAAGGGAATGAAGGAGGAGAGGAGACAGGAAAACCTCCAGGAAAGGAGTTTGTGGCTGAAAAAAGGGGATGAGAGCAAGCAGCAATGCCACTGCTCCCAGGGCTGGCCAGATGTTTGCTCATCTGCTCAGGCACTGCTTTTTATTGTCAGCTGCCACACAAGTGCCAAAGTTAAAGCTTAATAAGTAATGAAGACAGTCTGCCACAAAAACGAGAAAAATGAGGGAAACAATGTCTCTCACCTCTCCTCATCTGATTTAACTGGTTAAAAATGGTCCTCTATTTTGCATAGGGCTGAGCAAATTACTCATTATAAATAATGCATTAACCTAATTTCATCACTTTTACTCTGTGCAATGTTCCTGACTAGATTTATTACTATTCCTTTGTAAAAAGTGCTGGTACCTGGAAGCAAATCAGCAGATATCTTATCTGCTCATGATAACTCCAGCCAAACAGGTACTGCTGTAAATTGAGAAAGTCTAATACTACCTCTCCAGGTAGTTTTTGAGAAATATTTAGGAAATAGCTTCAGAGAAAATATTTATAGCTGAAATCAATGTGTTGGGACCATTTTGTGCACCTGAAGCTCACTGATGTTCTTGAGGAGAGTCATTGTGAAGGACTCAGGGCTAAGTAAAAATTAAATATTTCTTAATATGCCAGTAAAATGATTGCTATCACTACATCTGCTTGAATTGGCAGAGTCATAGCTTTGTGAGATAGACAATATCACCTCAGATGTAGAAAATATCCAGATATTGCACTGCTCCAACACCAACTGTGCATTTTTAGCTAAACTTGCCTCTAGATTACAGCAAATCTTTCATTTCCCTTGATGCAATTCCCTTTTTTCTTTCAAAGGTCTCTGTGCAGGAGGTTCAAATAGCAGGGAAAACACCTCCTGAGGGAATGCAGGAACACAGAAGATGCAAAGTGTGTCCAGATCTTTGTTTTGGAGAAGAAATTGCATTTCTGGCAAGCAGCAGAGATCAAATCAGGCAGCAAGAGCCTGGCTGCCCCAGTCTAAGAAGGGCAACGAGAGTCAAGGGAGATCAATAAATTTTGGGTAAGGCTTTGAAAGAGACTTAAATGTGCATAATTAGCCAGTCTTGGAAGTGTCACAGCAACTCAGAGCAAAGCTCTCCTGTGGGTGGGAAGGTGTGGGAGTGCAGATTGCAGCCCCTGAAACACAGGCTGGCCACCAAGGGCCACCACCAACCCCAGGAGAATCACAACTAAAATAATGAATTTATTGTATAATTCACGCTTCATAATTGGGAGAGGATGAATCCAAAATTTCATGTGAGGGGCTGCAAAGTACCTGGCCTGGCCTTTGGGGTGGGAAATGTTCTTCAGAGACTGATGAGACTGTTCTTCAGAGACTGTCCTGCTGTAGCCACACATCAAAAATCACATCCCCACTGCAGCTGAACGAGCTGACATTGGACTGGAGTTTTAGGATAACATTATCCTGTAAATAAGTTTTAGCACAATATTATCCTGTAAATAAGAACTGCCACCCAGCGGGGCTTGGTTTATCTTACCTTCCTTACAGACTGTAGGGATGTGATCCAAGCAAGCTTTTTCCATTGGTTCCTTCCTAAACCAGAATTTTCCCTGCCAGGTTCTTTGTGAAAGTTTGGGTTGCAGAAATTTGGGATGTGTTGAGTTTAGGCCCCTGCTCCAGTCTATTTGAACTGGGATTCTGCTTTTAGCATCTGGAAGGTGTCACCCAAAGGAACTTTGTCTTGCAGTTAATGTTCACCCTGTTGGTTAAAGAAGCGTGACTAAAACTCCATTAATTCCATGCAAGAATCAGATGTAGAAAATGATCTGGTGGTCTATTTATTATCCTCTTGGGGTTAGTTCATAACTCGCAGGAATTCAAAGTGAGGCAGGATGCAGGGATGGCTTGCAAATGTTTGTAATTCTGGCTTCAGCCACTCCAAAAACACCAACACAAAATGCAGATCTTGTTCACCCATTGCAAAATCAGCTTTTACTTTGTGATTAATAATCCACAAACAGATTTATTCTCTGACTACTTAGCAATCCTCGAACCAGCAAGTTTTTCCTGGATTAATGACTGAAGAAACTAAACTATATAAATAAATTTCCTTCTTTTTATTCTCTTGTGACATTGGACTGGCATTTGAGAATTATCATTAGAAATCTCTGGAGCTGAATCCCAGGAACCACAGGGAAGTGAAAGATATAAAATCTATTTTCAGGATGGGATTGTGCATATCTTCTGCCATAATGTACATAACATAACAGTGCCTCTGCTTTCTCTGTCTGCTACAGGATACACTCGAGCTCTCAGTCTATTTATTAAAGATCAATTTTTGTGATATCATTGATCCCCTGCACACTGGGATTGTCATCCTCACTCAGGAGCAGCTGAAATTCAATCCTTTCTTCTCCATCTCTCTGTGGATTAAACCCTGGGACACACATAATAGACACTCTCTGGGAAGATAATGTGCCTCTGGTAATAGACAAAAAAAAATGACAGTAATGAAGGGATATGTTGTTAAAAATGGTGAAGAATAACAGCCTGATCATTTCCTGCTCTGTGCCCAGGAAGACACCAGGATAAACAGTCAGCCAATGTATTTAAGCACTCAGAAGATAAAGGATGATAAGAGAAGAACCAGCATGGATCTTCTGGGACAAATCATATCAAGCTACCTTCTGCAGATAAGGTGATGGGGAAGAGGGGAAGATGTGTAGAGGAGCTGTGCTGGTGGGTTAGTAACACAGAGAGACAGAGAGAAAATCAGGATAAATCAGCAGGAACAGCACATTTTCAATGTGAGGCAGTTCTTCAAGGCTACTTAACTCTACAGCTGGAATATCTGCCTTGTCTCGGACTGAAGGGAATCCTGGGGGAACGTGGCCAAAACTGCAGAGAAAAAGGAGCATGAGGAAAGCCTGGCAGGATGGAGCTGGCTTCATCTAAGGGGGGATGGGGAGGGAGGGGAAATACCTTCACATGTGGAAAGCTCTTTCAGAACCTCCACACCATCAGTTCCAGCTCTGTCCTCTGAGGGAGGAAGGCTGGGAAGTGTCCTGCCATCAGTGAGGGAACAGGGGGGTTTCCATGATGAAACTGCAAGGGAAATTGAGGTTAAACACCAGGAAAATGGCCAGCCTAAAGGCCAGTTGGGTACTGGAGTAAATAGTGTAGGATCTGTGGAAGAACAGGTTAGGCAGACACCTGCTAAACACAATTTAAGTCTGGTTTATGTTATCTTGAGAAAAATATGTGGGTGACTTCATTAAAAAATGTTTTTCTATTATCCCTGCTTTCTACATTTCCATTTTCATTTTTTCCCTGACATCCAGCTTAAGCTTGGAGTAATTAAAATATTTGAAGCCAAGTAACAAATCTAAAATTTTTGGTGGTTTGTGTTTTGTTAGGGGAAACTCAAGAGACACCGTGTTTATTGTTAGTTGGAAGGATCCCCTCAAACCCAACCTCAATTAAAGATATTGATCTTAATTTTTTTTACTTTTATAGCAATGAAGGCTCAGATATGATCTTGCACTGTTAATTCCATGGATGTAACTCAATCTGCAGAGGCAGAGCCAAAGGTTTCTTTAAGTTAAATGCCTAGTGGCCAACAAATATTTGTTGCTGTTCTTTATAAAGTCCTGTTCTCATGAGATCAGAGGCAACTTTTATATTTGCCTTTGTTGAATTAATTTCATGAGCTGTTCAGGGTTGGTGTTGTTTCTTTGCTTATTGTGTGTTTTGCTTTTCAAGATTGTTTTCATCCAATTGTCCTTCTCTAGATTTACAGTGAAAACAACTGAGGACACTTTGTACATAACCCTTTCATCCAAAGTGATTGAAAAGTTCAGCTGAATATGCTCAGTGCATTTTTTTTTTTCAACTTGTCATCCTTCACAGCTTTCCTTCTTTACATTCCACCTCCAAATATTGTTTTGTTTAAGGAGGAAAAAAAAAACCATCCTGGTGACAATTTGCATAATATGTTAATGCTGATATGCATCCAGACATCTGGATGGCATTTTAATATCTCATTCTCATTCAGACAAGTAGGAACTACACAGATGGGAGAGACAATTTTAAGAGCATTGTTGTAAACAAATAAGGCAGCCAGGAAATCAAACACACTCCACGATGGGCTTTGTGTGTGAGGATGTGCTCATGACACGTTGTGACTGCAGGACAGAGCTGCTGCTCCACTCCCAGCTGCACCAGGAGGTAAATGCAGCACTGGAAATGGAGATTTGGGATCATTTCACGGGAAGTTCCTTTCCCAACCCAACAAAACCGACACCTCAGATTATCTCAGTGCTCGTGAGATGGAATTATTTGGGGCTCTGCTGTGGGCAGATGTCAGAATCTGTGGCATTGATGATCCTGAGATTGTAGAAAGTCTCTGTCTGTCAGCCCCGCTGCCAAAGCAGAAGCCATAATTGGTCTGTGCTGGTTAAAAGGCTGTTTATTCTGTTTATCTCTAACATGTTCTGCTGCCCTGCCGCAGCTCTGTCCTGCAGGGCAGCGTGTGGGGCTCTGCCCTCAGTGGGATGGTACAAACATTAAATACCACAAACTACCTGTGCTGGATTTACAATAACGTGCCAATATCTGTCACCTACGTTGGACAGTGTGTCCCCAGCCTGAACCAACAGAAAAATGCCAACACCACAGTGAAACATGGAGGGCATGAAGAAGGAGAAAAAGGACAAGGCACACCCAATTTCCTCCATCTTGTCCCCTTTGGACCCCTAATCTAGAATCCTAAAATTTTACTTTTGCACCTGTGCCACACTTAATTATTACTGATATCAAACACTCAGAGCTTGTAATTCATCCTGTAAGATTGAAAACTCTTTTCCATGGACAGAGATCACAGCCAGTGTCTCTGGGGGCTCTGCCCAGGGGGGTTCCTGACCCCTGCCAGGGTCCCAGACCTGCCAGGGCAGCCAGAGGGATGCTCTGGATTCTGACAGGCAGATTGTGGGGTTTGGTTTGTTTCATTTTCAATTAGCAACAGAAATAGCAACAGTCCTGATTGCTTCAGGAAGGAGACCTGTAAATGGTGTTCTCCTGCTCCACATAATCAGGTGCCTCCTGGGAGTGATCTGCTCCTGCTGTTAAAATTCATCTCCACAGAGTCCTGGGTAATTCCCTGCAGTCCTCTTTAATCTGCTGCTTGTTTGGAGCTCCTCACAGGAGTGGAATGGCTCTGAACTCCAGCATCCAAAGCCAGGTTGATATTTTGGGTGTCTGCTCCAGCTGTTTGTGCAAGAGCCACACACAGCCTTTGCTGCAGGTGGAGCTGGCAGCTCAGCAGATGCTGCACATTGGTGCCTCTCTCTGGATGGCACCAAAGCCACAAAATCAGAGTCTCAGTGTGGCAGGCACATTCTTCTCTCTCTCTCAAGATTTTTCATAGAGGAGCACAGAGAGAAGAAAGAGAAAACAATTTATATTTCTGCTCCTTGTTTTCCCATGTGGAATGTGTTTGGAGAATTGTTTACCTGGGGTGAGTGCTTGGTTGGATTCTGGTGAGGATTGTTTGAGCCTGGTGGCCAATCCAACCCACCTGGGGCTGGACTCTCAGAGAGGGGCACGAGTTGTGAGTTAGATATGGGAGTTAGAAAAAGTAGGTTTGTAGTTTTAGTATCTCCTTTAAATAGTATATTAATGTATTATAGTATAGTTAAATAGAAATCATTCAGCCTTCTGAGCTGGAGTCAGACATCCTCATTTCTTCCCACTGAGTTCACCTGATTTACAATAATCTGAGCCCCACAGGGATCATCCCTGGCCCTGCACAGGCCAGTCCCAAGAATTGCTCCTATCTTTTCCAAATAACACCATAAACTGATTATTTTCCCCTTCACCTTTTAGCAGCTATGGCTACAGATCCCACACAACTGAATTCCCAGAAATTTTCAGGAATTCAGTTGTGCTCAGTGACATACATGATAAAATAGTCCAGGACTTTTCTTTCATCTCCTGGAACACAGGTAAAAAGTTGTAATTTAAATTCTACCCCTTCTCTATGGAATTAGACAGGGTTCTGAGAAGCCTGGTCTAGAGGAACGTGTCCCTGCTCATGGTCTTTAAAGGTCCTTTCCAGCCCAATTCTATCATTTTAATTACAAATAAATGACAATATGAGAATATCTATTAATTTTACATGAACAAAATAGTTATCTAAGCCTTTACCGGAATATTTCAGGTAGTGAAACATCAATGAGCTACTTAGGAAAACAGTTAAAAATTTGTGCCTGGTCAGTCTGGGTGATTGAAGACAAGGGGTCTCTCTTGAATGAAAGAAAATATGATTAAAAGCTCAAAGACATGGGTGGTAATGACCTCAGAAAGCAGTTTAGCAAGGGAACTTGTTAAAACAGCAATTCCTAAAATAATTCTGCTTTTCCTCTGACCTCAAAGCTGCAGATTTGCTTGTGGCAAATGCTAAGGAGGGGTGGAGAACTCACAGCAATGAGAGCCAGGGGTAATGGAAACACAGAGAAAGGCCTTAATTCATGCCTCAAACCCAGGAATAAAAACAGGAGTGCAGAATAAAAAAACCTGACAGGAACCTTTCAGAGTGAACGGTGAATAAACCAATTTTCCTTCACGATTACAACCTGTTCCCTGTGCTGTAGGAATGATTCCAGGGGACCATTCCCATCAACCTGTGGGTGATTTCCACCACTGGATCTTCCTTTTTCTGTGAGAGAAGTTTGTCTCATGCTCCATCTCTCTCTCTTCTCCTTTTTTCTGCGCCCAAATTTGGGTGCTGTGTCCAAGCTTTGAGCCAGGTAGCAGCAGATTGAAGCTGTCACCAGGATTGGGATCAGGAGCTCCTGGCAGCAGAACTGGAATTTGGAATCTGGGCCAGGAAATCTTCTAATGCATCTCTGAAAACTTTATGTGCTCTATCTTAAGTTTGCCTTAAAATAAAATTTAAAAAAGTCAATAAAACTTTAATCCTAAGCATGCTAACATTGACAAATTTAGTTAATGTCTGGCAGAAAAGGGAGGATAAAATAGTCATTTAATTTTTAGTCTGCAAATTGTGAGATTACAAACAGCGTTTGCTCTCCAAGAGGATTCTGTATTTTACTCACACAGCTGGATTTTGTGATGGCTGGGACAGGCTTAAAGAAAATCATGATCTAATTGTTCCTCCTTCAAGCCTGGTGATGATGGAGCTATTGTGGCAACCTGAATGTCTGGGGAAAAAACATTAATAACAAATGATTCTCTGATCACAGTGTGCTGGAAAGCAGGAAAACGATTAAATTATGATGGGAATAGTCAGAAAACAGGAGACAGAGGCTTTAAAAGCAGAGATTTGTCTGTTTAAGGCAGCTGGGGCTGATGTGTTCTCTCACCAGGGTTAGCAGGTCATGCTCACTCCATGATCATTCCTCCACCTTCCCTTCCTTGGAATTTCCCCCCTCCCTGAAAGAAAGAAGCAGCTCAGGGAACCCACAGTTATTT